CTCTTTCCTTTTTGTGTGATATGGACTCTAAGCAGAAGAAAGGATCAGACTTTTCTTTTTCTTTTTTCGTCTCGATCCTTTAACTACTTAAAAGCAGGCAAACACTATACAGTTGAGCTAAGCCAGGTTACGGTGGGTAGACTGGTGAGGTTTGTGATGCAGGTAGCTTGATTAACCTGGGCACTAGCTTCCTAATTCTCATTCTGATCTCTTTCTCGATCCCGTGGCTTTGACTTAGGATCAATTGTTTAGTGTTTACCTCACCTTTCAAAATAAGTCAATACCTTTCATTGTAGGTTTATGATCAACGTAGCTTTGAAATTACGTGCGTGTGATCGGACGTTTTGATGCAAGTAACGGTTTACGTTGACACGATATTTGCGAAATCTCAATTTTGTGTCAAGTGTCTATTGTTATTTTATAGGATGCACAATTAATTCTTAATGTAATAATCATTCTTGATAATATGCACATTGTGTGGTAGATTGTGTATTAAGACTAGTCATTATGTTGATGTTGTAGAGGTTAAAATATTTAGACAGTAGTGGTGGGAGGCAGTAATAGGTCATTAGATAATGATACAATATTAAGATAAACTTGTCTTACATTGTGTATACAAAATAAGTTGTAGGTATAGGTAGGTATTGTAGTAGAAATTAGGAAGCAGGTATAGTTATATTAGGCTATGGTGTAGTTATTGTGTAGTAGAAATTAGAAAGTAGTTATAGTATAGAAATTAGGAAACAGGTAGTTATAGGATACAGGTTATATAGTGTATGTATAGGTTATAGATCTAGGTTTTATGATTTATTATGATTAAATTATTATTTATAATTTTTTATTTTTTATGATTTATTATTTATTTATTATTTATTTATTATTTATTATTATTTATTATTTATTATTTATTTATTATTTATTTATTATTTATTATTATTTATTTATTATTTATTATTATTTATTTATTTATTATTTATTATGATTTATTATTTATTATTATTTTTACAACCTGGGCCTCAGCAAGAGTGTTGGGCCAGGTTTTTTTAATTTTTGGGCAGCAGTGTAGTGCCGCCTCCACGTGGCGCTGCCTGGGATCACTAGTGGCTACTACTGCTAGTGATGCTAAGAGCACTACATACAAGAAGAAAAATGGCAATACTAACAGTAAGTTTGTGTAAGGACTTTAATATTATCATTGATAGGTTCAAGCTGAAATAAAGATGAAATGTCAAGTGGATTGATACTCAAGACTGAAGCTAGAGATTTATATACTAGTTTTAATTTTTTGAAAAATAATTCTTTTAAATTTTGATTGCATGTGTTTATGGTGATTTGAACTGTCATTGCCAGCTCTAC